CATTTGGTCAGACCATTCTTTTTATGTGGTACTGGGGATTGAACTCAGAGATTTTGCATTGAGCTATGTCCCTAGCCACCCTTTAATTTTTTTTTTTAATTTTGAGACAGGTTCTTGCTAAGTTGCTAAATTGCTTAGGCTAGACTGGAATTTGGGATCCTCCTGCCTCAGCCTCTCAGAATGCTGAGATCACAGGCATGTGCCACCACTCTGGCTTTAGTCAGATCTTTCTGGTCAGTACTTTGATCCTGTTTTTTGTTTTGTTTTGTTTTTTTTACAGTGTCTTGCTATGTATTCCAGGATTGCTTTGAACTTACTATGTAGCCCAGGGTGGCCATGAACTCATAGCTATGCTCCTGCCTCAGCCTCCCAAGTGCCACCACGCCTGACTGTATTGCTCTTCATGGCAACCAGATCCATTTTGCCTCTAGTGGTCAATTGTTGCCACATGTCCTCCTTAATGCTGGAATCCCGTCTGTGCTATTGAAACCAGGGAACTCATTTCTATGGTAGCAGAGAAAAAGTCATCTTCACCTCCAAGCATGCAGAAAAAAAACCTGGCATAACACTTTTTAAGAATGTTATGCTGGGGTGGGGGGATGCAGCTCAGGGGCACTGTGCCTACCTGGCAAGCATAAATTCCTGAGTTCAATCCCCGGTTCTGCAAAAAACCCCAAAAACCAAAACAAAGAATGGTATGCTGAGGATGGGGCTGGGAGGGAGGGGTGGCTCACTGATAGACTGCTTGCCTTGCTTGAAGCCCTGGGTTTGCTCCCCAGTGCCGCCAGGGAGGTAAATAAGAACATACCATGCCAGGTGTGGTGTCACACACCTGTAATCCCTGCACTTGAGAGGCTAAGGCAGGAGGATTGCTGTGAATTCAAGGCCAGTCTGAACTACATAGGGAGACCCTGTCTTAAAAAAAAAAGAACATAGGGCCAGGGATTTAGCTCAGTGGTTCCGCCGCCTGCTTTGCAAGCACAAGGTCCCGAGTTCAATCCCCGGTACCAAAAAAACAAAACGAAACAAAACAAACAAAAAAGAACATGTCAGCGTGCCCAAGGGTGGTGCCCCCCAACTCTATGGAGACAGAAGCTCCTGAGCTCCTGCACTTGGAATTCTCTCAGACCTTGCTCTCTGTATCTTTTCATCTAGCTGTTTGTGTACTTTAAAACATCCATCCTCAGAATTGGGGATATAGCTGTGCTTCTCTCACTGGTGTATTTCTCAATGCCTCAGTGAAGAAAATGTCCTCTAGGCTCTTGGGGAAATTACTTAGAGGTGCGAGTGAATTATATATGATTGATCTGCTCCATTTTTCTCTCTTTATGTCTTGGATTCCTTCCTCTGTCTTGTGTAAAAGGGTTCCCACTTTCTCAGCTTCATCTATTGTAAGATATTACTGAGTCTAGGTTTTAGCCAATTAGCTGACAAAAGAGATCAAATGATTCCTAGTTGTTGGTGCCAGCACATGGAGTTTGGAATCTCTGAATCCATATACATAAAATCAGGTCAATCTAAAAGTGTGTTTCTTCCTCTCTAGTTTAGCACGCTTAGGATGTGACCCCACACATAGTCTCAAGGTTATATCCATATAAACCAGCAAAATCTTTACAGTTAGATTTTGCAATTGTGCCCTTCATTTTATATCTGAGGAGCCATTGCACATTAACCACCTCAGGTAAAGGCCTTACAGAATCTCCAAGCAAGGCAGGATCAGCCCATTCAGTAGACAGAAGAATGGGTCGCCTCTGCTAGCAGGGGAGATGCAGCAGGGTCTGGTCAGAGAGCATCCTTGAGTATATCCCCAAACCTTTCTTCTTATTGATGGGATGCCTGTCCTTAATCAGTGCCTCAGGATTTCACCGAGATCTGGCAAGGTTGTGATTTTAACTTAGGGCACAATTTATAACCTGTAATTCAGGTTTCATCGATATCAGCCCATGGCCATGACTGTGATTTTCCCTTGGAAAGTCTTAGAAGCACCCAGTCTTCTTGGGCCAAGAATTTAGAACTTCCAGCTTGCCACGTTCTTTCTGTAAGTGTACCAGAGCAGCCAAAGCAGCCAGATCACCCCATAGACTTTTATCTCCTTTGTCCCACCAGAATGGCTAATTACAACAGCTGTGTAGTCTTCCAGAGCCTTCCTTTAGATTACTGGTTTTGCCAGATATTACTAGAATGTAACTACGACTTTCTGTTTTTAAACCATGTTAAGTCAGATACCACTGCCAGATCAGTCTCATGCTTGATGCTAGTTGTATTTTAATTTTTTACAAGTGTTACTACCTGGTATATGCTGCTTCATGCCTTCTAGTACCACTTATTAATTAATCATCTGGGCTGGGCAGTGGATGGATGATATGGGACAGATAAAATATGGGCAGTGAGTCTATATTCTAACCTTGGGATAGTTCATTTTTCCCTTTGATACTTGGAAGAATAAGAATTTCCCCTAGGGGCCTTGGGCTTTTCCAGTAGGGCTGTTCTAAAACGGGCATAGCCTGCCCTACATCAAGAAGGAGTGCCATGGTGCTGACTCTAGGGAGAGCATGGGTCTGGCTCTCAAACTTGACTGCCTGTTGGAATCACCCAGGGAGCTTTTCAGACATTTCCCCTGAGTCCTGGGGCCCTAACCCAAAAGAGTCAGAATCTCTGAGCATTGTTTGTAAGGCTCCCCAGGTGATCCGAAGGAAGGAGCAGCAGCAGTTGTGTTATAGCACACAGAGGAAGGAGCCTGGGACTGGATACCTGCAGGCGTGGTTTCTTGCTTTAAACTACCACCTCTGCGACCTTGGACAGGTCACATGATCTCTGTGGACCTCAGTGTCCAACTCTCTGAGCCAGAGCCAGTAATACCCACTGCCTTGCATGCTTTGCCGGATTGTAATGAGGATCAAATACATAAGCATCCTGGGAACTGTGAGATATTGTCTAATGGGAGGGATAATCATATCAAGTGCATCATCTCGGGTTTCTCTGATCAGCTTGACTTAGCTGCAAGTACTGCTGAGGCTATGCCAGGGACTTTCTGTTTTACCTTCAGGCAGGTCGACCTCCTGTAGCATTGCTGGGCTTAGTCTTTCTTGTGCCTGTCTGTCCCCTACCCCACCTGGAGGCTGGGTCATCTTTCATCTTTCAAGACAGCCAGGAAGCTGGATTCCTTGGGAGGAGAAATTACAGTGATTGTCAGCCAGGGCGGCACAGACCTTTAGGGCGACTCATTAGAGCTGCAGGGGGCCCTGTGTGGTTCGAGAACAAAGATTCAGTGTTATACTTCTGTATTTGGACTGTGGTAGTGAGGAATGAGGGAAGAAAACCACCCAAGTGCTTACCTAACACAAATCTTAGAAAGTAAAGCTCAACCATCTTTCCCCAAAGATTTGTCTCCTGTGGACCCCTGAAGAGGTGGGGTGGGGGCAGAAACTAGAAAGGAAGAAGTGGAGCAAATAATTGCTATGTTTATCTAGGGCAGGTAAGTTTAAAAGGGAGAGAAGCACCTCACCCTTGCTCTTGGGTAGGATGTTTGTAGTTCAGGCTGGCTTTAAACTCACTTTGTAGCCCAGGCTGGCCTCGAACTTGTCATCCTCTTCCCTTAGCCTCCTAAGTGCTGGGGTTATAAGTGTATGCCACACCAGGCCAGGTGGTGAATTCTAAAACCCAGACAGCAACTCCCCCTGACCACCTCTGTCAGCAGAAGCTTCTAGTTAACCTCGTGTGCAAATCACATTTACACTTGGCTCACCTTGCTCAGGAAAGGCGGCCCTTGCTCTGGTCTCCTGACCCTCGCGCTGATGAAGATTTCTATTCTGTCCCTCTGGGGTCTTCCTGTACCCACAGGGGCTGCCTGACCTGGTGCTGTCCTTTGGGTCTCTTCGGGGGGAAAAGGACTCTAATGGTGCTGCCCATAGCTTTTCTCCACTAAGGACACCCAGATTTTTAGTTTGCAGAGTAAGCACACTGTATTTCTTAGGTAAAACTGTTTCCGCCAGAGCTGAAGATTTGGAGAATCATCATACATCACTGTGGCTCTTCCTGAATATCCCCCCTGCCAACCCCCTTGCCTGTTTCATCCCAGACCATGGAGCTTATCACCTTCTAATGTGTCGTGTAATTTACTTATTGTCTTTGTTTATCTGTCTCCTGTCACCAAAATATAAGTTTCAAGAGGACAAGGGTTTTGTCTGTTGTATCCCCAGTGCCCAGCAGACTGGCTGGTACATAGCTGGTGCTCAGTATTTGTTGAAAGAATTAATAGAAAGATACATGGCTTTGGCCTTTGTGAGCTTCATAAGGCAGGAGGAGCATCCATTTCATTCACTATGTATACACTCAGTGTCTAGCACAGGGCCTTGTTCAAAATAATCACTCTATAAATGTTAATATGGTAGTCAGCATACCATTTCCAGGGACTTATCCTGCAGATATTCTCACAGTGCAAATATGCACATGGATATTAGTTGCAGAATTTTTGCAAAAACAAACAAAAAATGAATTTATCTGGAGACCAAGATATCCATCACTGAAAGATTTGGGTGAAATTTGTGGTGTAGTATTAAACACAGGCAAATGTTTACACCAGTGAAGTAGGTAGCTCCTGGGGAACACATGTGCGGGGTGGGTTGGGGGATCCTTGGGTGAGGAGCCCTGGGCAGTGGGCCATGGATGCAGTGGCAGAAGAGGGCCAGTCTCAGTCATGTGCTCTGGGCCTGCCTGTTCCTCTCTCCTCTGCTAATGAGAAGCTATCAGACAGGGGCTTATGTTCACCAGGTCTCTTTAGGGTAAGAATTCCACAATTCTATTTTAATTTCCCCACTATGGTGGTGGGGTGAGATATGCCATGTCTACCACTCTTTCTCTGAGAACCTAGACTCCTCTTCCACCCACTCCTCTACCCATATGAACCCCTGATGTCAGAGGGGATTTCTCCCTGGTCAAAGATGAGACTACAGTGATGGGGGTGTTTGTACACAATACGAAAAGCCAAGGAAGACACATGGTTTTGTCCAGTGACCTCTGAATTTTTATTGGCCTGCTATTTCCCCAAGGGCACCCCACTCCTGCTGCTTCAGTGTCTCAGCACTTTGGTGTCATTGGTCTCAGACACTAATTTTCCATCCACGATTTTTCGAGTGGTGGTTCTTTGGATGGTTTGCACAGAGGTGCTGCTGTCCAGGGCATCACCGAGACTGTAACAGAAGAAGCACCAGTTATGAACAGCTCCTCAGAGTAGAAGGGAAACAAGGAAGGAAGAGGAGAGTTGCTGGACCCCTACCCTTTTATCTCCAAATTCCCCTTAGCCACTTCCTCCAGAAAAGGGAAAACCCAAACTTCACTAGTGCCCTAAGGACTTCCAGGGCCAATACCACCAGCCATGTGCTCAGTGAACACCAATGAACAGATCCATGGCAGCACCTCTGGCTTTGGGGAGAAGACTCCCCACTTAGGCTGGTAGGAGAGACCACTCACTTGAAATCCTCCCCGTCTTCCAGCAGGCGGCGGTACGTGGCGATCTCAGCCTCCAGCTTCACCTTGATGTTCAGCAGGGCCTCATACTCCTGGGCCTGGCGTTGCCCCTCTGTTCGGGTTTGTGCCAGCTCTGACTCCAGGTGCAGCAGGACCCCATTGAGTTGCTCCATCTGCATGGCGTAGCGGGCCTCCAGGTCTCTCAGGCTGTTCTCCAGGCTGATCTTCTGCAGGGGACAGAAAAGAGTGCCAGGGTGAGTCCTCAGAACCAGACCGCTCATCTCTTCACTCTCTGAAACTCTGCCACCAACCCATAATGGGGATTGAACCCAGGGCTAGCTGAGGCACATCACTGGCCTTTTGAAAAATTATTATTATTTTGAGACAGGGTCCAGCTAAGTTGCTCAGTCTAGCTTTGAACTTGCTATCTTCCTGCCTCTGCCTTCCTGAGTTGCTGGGGTGGCTGAGATTGCAGACATGCCTGTGCGCTACTGCACCTGGCTCACTCTCAAGCTGCTTTTGAGTGCCAAGTGTTGGGGTAGGGGGACTTGTGATGGAGAGGGTAGGATTGGGCTGAGAGATTTGGGCCTGAGGTCCACTGACAGAGGTCATTAAGTTCACAGGAGCTGGGGAGGTGACGAGAGGGGCCTCACCAGGTTTCTCATGGACTCCAGGTCAATCTCCAAGGACTGGGCTGTGCGCTTCAGTTCCATGAGTGTCGACTCAGCAGCTCCAACCTCAGCAGACTGTGAGGTGATTACTGTGGTGGTCTCCTCAATCTACAGGGTAGGGAAGGATCCATCAGGCCCCTCTGTCCCTATAGGGCTGCCTCCCCTCACATTCCCTGGCAGCCAGCCTGGCCTGCATACCTGCTGGGACCAGTACTTGTCTAGTTCCTCTCGGTTCTTCTGAGCCAGTGCGTCATACTGGGCCCGGATATCCCCCATGATCTTGCTGAGGTCCTGAGATTTGGGCGCATCCACCTCCACGGTCAACCCAGAGCTGGCAATTTGGGCTTGAAGACCTCTGACTTCCTAAAGGAGACAGGGGCAAAGGTGAAGAGGGGTCAGGTCAGAGCACCAACTAGGTCCTTCATCAGTGACTGCCTCTCCCTGGAGGCCTGCAAGAGCAGATAAGAGGAGAGATCACAGGGAACTTTGGGCTTGTCCTCTGGGCAATACCAGTTCTAGGCTTCTGTTCCAGATGGTAGGAATGCCACCCACTCAAAGCCTGAGGGTGTCACTCACAGGTGGCTTCTCTCTCTTCACCTGTGTCCATCTACCCTCCTTCTACAAGCCTGCTCCATAGACCTCTTCCGGGAAGCCCTGGTGGCTCTACTAGCTCTAGCTTCTGGTATTGGCTGCTTATATCTTTGTCCTCATCTCTTCTCACCCACATCATCTTGACCCCATCACACTGCAATTCAGGTAAGCCACAAAGTGCATGTGTGACTCCCTGGTATGCTCTTCATCAGGATGGGCTGACTGGGAAGAGCCAAGGCTGGTAGTTCTAAACTTCCCTGCAAAACTTGCTGGTGGCCTGCCTATCTATTTCGGCACTACTTGTCTTGGCCCCCTGGGTCCCTGGCCTGGCCAGCAGCCTTGCTTGCCTCCTCATGGTTCTTCTTCATGAACATCAGCTCCTCCTTGAGAGTCTCGATTTCCGTCTCCAGCTGCAGCCGAGTGATACTGGTGTCATCAATGACCTTGCGAAGCCCATGGATGTCATTCTCCACAGACTGACGCATGGCCAGCTCTGTCTCATACCTACAGGAGTGGAGATGATCACAGGAGATGATCCAGAACCTTCTCAACCCATGTCACCTCCTATGAACATCCCTGTTTCCATCCTAATGAGCAACTGAGTCAGAAATAAGGTAGTAAATCCCTCAGCACCCTTCTTGGCACTTGGCACCTGGGTTATACAAATGAACAGTTAAATGAAAAAACTGATAGACTCTAACTCTTACCCACCAGCTCCACCCACTACCTGAATAAGAGCCCTTGGGGTCGCTAACCCAACCTCAGGAGCAGACCTTAGCTCCAACCCCACTCACCCCACACTTACTTGACTCTAAAGTCATCAGCAGCAAGACGAGCATTGTCAATCTGCAGGACGATGCGGGCATTGTCCACAGAATTTGCAAAGATCTGGGGAAGATTGTAGAGAGTCAGTATTGGGTAGGCTGAGCGTGTGGATGATGTTAGGTGTTTCAGTGAAACGTTCTCGGTCCCAGGAATGACCAGAGGCTCTCCCTGTGCACCTATTCCTCTTCATCTGTGCTCCCCAATTCTCTCCTTTCCTGGATTCCCCCATCCTCTCATTCTGCCCCTCTTGCTGGGCCTGTCCAGAAGGGAACAGTTACTCTCCCCCTAGCCCTTTCCTAGGGTTTTCCCCAGCACATCTGCTGATCCCCTGCTCTGGGCCCCTCAGGTCCTGGATTGGCCCCTCCCACAGGTAGGCTGCATGTTTACTCCTAGGTGACTCAGCCTTAGCCACGTTTAAGGCTCCAACTGTCCCCAGGCAGCCAGAAGTGACCTATCCAGGTCTGCGTTATGACCCTTTTTTGATTTTCTTCCTTGCTGACACTTTTGCAAAGCCGTCCTCCCTATCTCCTCCCTCCTATGCATAGTTACTATAATTCGAGTCTGACCCCCTCTTCCTGTCCCCTTACCTGAGCCTTCAGCTCCTCGATGGTCTTGAAGTAATGGCCCCAGTCTCTGACCTGGGGCCCCTTCTTCTCCAGATGTTCCCGGATCTTGCCCTCCAGCCTCCGATTTTCCGTCTCCAGGCTCCTCACTCTCTCCAGGTAGGAGGCCAGACGGTCATTCAGGTCCTGCATGGTCTCCTTCTCGGTCTGGATGCTGCCCATTCCACTCAGACCCCCGGCCATTCCTGAGGCCAGGCCCGCAGACGCCATATCGCCCCGGAGGATGGTGGAGCGGGACACTGAGACCCGGGAGCCCGAGCCCCCAGCGCCTGCATAGACGCTGGCCGCGCTGCTGGCCCGCCCGACCCGGTGGCTGGGGGGCCGGACTGAGCCCAGAGACCGGTAGTTGGTGGAGAAGGTGGTGGAGCGGGTGGTGACACTCATGCTGTCTGGAAAGGAGTGCAAAAGACCAGGACTCAGGTTTGGATCTCTAAGAGTGGCGGTCTGCAATCCCAGTTATATCGCCGCCGAGAGAGGAGGTGGAGACCTTCGCGAGCCGGTCCCGCCCCCGCCATCCGGCGGTCTAGCAGGCTCGGGCCACAGGCGGAGTTCTCAGTTCCGGCCCCTCTGCCCCACCCCCACCCCCACCCCGGGCGCTCTCTGCACAGCCCTGCCAAGGACGACCCCTCTCCCCCAAACGGGGTGACTAATCATGGACGCCACGGGCAGCAGGTGTTGTTGGTCTTTGAGGCTGTTGTTTTAGGGCAAGAAATGACGTTTCTGGACCCCCTCCTTCCCCCAGGTAGAAATTTGGGGGTTCTAGTGGGGTGTAGTGGAATGGGATGTGGGTCTCTAGTTGTCCTCAATCTACACCCCCAGTTCCTCACCTGCAGGGGCTGTTTTAGGGGGTCCTGGAGCCTCAGGAGTTTTGGGGAAGAAAAGTTGGGAGCTGGAGAAGAGGGAGAGAAACTCAATCCTGAGCCTCAAATCTCCTGGCTTACACACTCACATTTTGCACTGTTTCAAAACACTGGTGTCTGCACTTGGCCACTTGCACATGCACACGCACGCAGAACCATGCAATTGTGTATTCTCAAACCACAAGAACACCAAGTTGAGGGCCAGGGATTTGCAGGGATTTAGCTCAGTGGTTTTGCCGCCTGCTGCGCAAGAGCAAGGACTCGAGTTCAATCCCCGGTACCAAAAAAAAAAAAAAAGAACACCAAGTTGATTCAGACAGGGGAAAAGAAACAGTCTCTGAGGACCCTTGCCCCGTTTCCTTCCCCAGCTCACTTATGGGAGGCTTGACCTCAGAGGGACACTGTGATCTGGACAGGGGACACACATCCCTGCCTCTGTATATCAGCCTTCCCTACACCCTTGGATAAACAAATACTGTACTTCCAGAGCACTTAAAATTCAACAAGTATTTATTGGGCACCTACTGTGTGCCAGGTCCTGTTTCAGGAGAGAACAGCAAAGAACAAGAGACTAAAATCCCTCCTGGGGATTGTAATGTGTCTCCCTCTCCCCAGGCTGGATGACAATCCCCTGCCGAATGAACTGGGAGAACCACAGAGGTTCCAGTTGGTCAGTGCCAGCAGCTTGTTTTTCGGGCAGGGCCTGGTTATACTGGGCTGTGCTCTTTGCTCTAGAGCAGACTTATTGATTCTTACCCAGCTGCCAGCTGAACTAGGCTAAGGCGGGGCAGACTGGAGGTTAAGGGGTCTGGGAGTGAAGGAGCTCTGGAGGAGCCTGGCTGGGGGACAGGTAAATGGGAAGTGCAGCACTGATGCAGAGCATGTCTCTGGATTGTCCCAGACCTGCTCCCTTCTGGTGGAGAGAGCCCCACAGTACTCAGGAGGAGCCAGTTGGGGGAGGGCCAGGGCCTGCCTAGGGCTGGCAGGCAAATGGGATGCAAAATGACAAGTAGTACCCAGTGGTTTTGCATGAAGCCTTCTGGGAGGGACATTAGAGTTTCAAGCTAATTTAAGGGATTTCTTCTGCTTTCTGACCTTCACATTCTTCCCTGGTTTTGAGAATTGTTGTGTAGAACTGTATAATAAGGTATATGGGTTAAGTGTGCCATGGGCTATCTTTTGCTATTTTTAAGCTTCATTATTATTGGGGGGTGGGGTACTAGGGAGTGAATCCAGGGCAGGGCCTTTGAACAGAACAACATCCTGGACCCTTTTTATTTTTGAGATACAGTCTCCCTAAATTGCCCAGGCTGGGCTGGAACTTTCAATACCCCTACCTCAGCCTCCCAGGATGCTGGGATTATAGATACACGCACCGCTACACCTGGCTCTGCTGTTTTTAATCTTGAAATCAGCCAATTCAGGTATTTGATGGGCTGTGTGACTTTAGGGAAGTCACTTAACTCCAAACTTCAGTGGCTTCACTCATCTAGGGAGAATATAAAGCCTGTCTACTCAGTCTCCTTGGGTGGCAATGGATGTGGAATTTAATGATTATGCATTCATTCCCAGAAGATATAGGAATTACTTAACTGCAGAGTGAGGCTCAGGCACACCCAGGAAAGCAGAGGTAGGAGGTCAATTTAATCCTAAAGATGGCTCAAGGGATATGAAGTCTCTTGAGTCCTGTCAGACCCCTGGAGGATTTAAAATTCAAGGGTCAATGAGACCCATACCTCACATTTCTGCTCCTAGGCCCTATTCAGATCCTCCTCTGATCCCTGCCCTACTTCCCTTGCTCACTTCTGCAGCTCGACCTTCTGGGGCCTGTGTAGGCTGGCCTGGGACCTGGGAGTGGAGCTTCAGTTACACCTTATCTCCCATAGCTAAAGTCCCTGGTCACATTCCTGACCTCTTGCTGCATCCGGGCAAATACCGATCTCAGGCATCCTCTGCCAGCCTGCCCTTTTCCACCACTTCCAGATTCTTCTGTGCTCCAGGCCTTCCCCTCAGTCTGACAGTCTCTGGAAGAGATGAGGAGAGGGGTGCGAGGGAGTTTTGCCCCAGATTGCCAGCACTGGGGCTCGAGGTGGTGGTGGAGGAGGAGCATGGAGTGGTTGTGAAGCCAGGGCTGGGAGAGGTTGGAGGGGGAGGGCACCTGGTGAAAAGGGGAAGTGGGTCCCCTCCCTCACCAGCCTGCCTTCTGGAGCCCTGCTGAGGAGGAGGGGAAGCTGCTAGGCAGGTTTAACTCCAGAGTAAGTTTGGAGATGAGTCTGATAGGGCTGGTCACTGCTGCTGCCCCTCCATCTTCTCCCAGTAGCTCTGTGGAAACTAGATTGTGAGTGGGAGAGCAGAGGACTACGGTGGATGAAGAGGGTCTGAAGTTCTTCAGCTCTGTTTTATCATTTAGTTTCCTGCCCAGTCCTGAGTAAGCATAGCAACCAGGGAACAAGGGTGGGGGTCACCAGATGAATTAGGGACAGGGTGATTTCTGTCCTCTTCTTTTTTTTCTTTTGGTACCGGGGATTGAACTTGGGTCCTTGCGCTTGCACAGCAGGTGGCCAAACCACTGAGCTAAATCCCCAGCCTTCCGTCCTCTTATTGAAGGACTGAGTGACTCCTCTGTGTTGGAATAAACAAGGGTCCCTGTGGGTGCAGGGTCACCTGGAAGGCCTTAGCAGAGGTGCTGCCCAAGCGCCAGTGAGCCTTAAGCTGGAGGAACCCAGGGGCTTCAGAGTTGAGAAGGAGGCACAACAATGGGGTGATATACAAAGGCACAGTGGACTTGCAGGGAGAAGTCTGCAAATAGGTTAGGCTTAATAATTAATGGGCAAGGGGCCGGGGATTTAGCTCAGTGGTTCTACCGCTTGCCTCAAAAGCACAAGGACCGGAGTTCGATCCCCAGTAGCCCCCCCCAAAAAAATATTAATGGGGGCTAGGTGAGGTGGGGGTGGGTACCAAAAAGTGTGGTTGGGTGGACTGGGGAGAGA